CCCCTGAACGCATTTACGCTCACAGACCAGAACACCAGAGACAACATTACAATAGGCTACATCAGCGGTTCCCAATTCCAATCCTCGCGCCCTCCTTCTCTGCACATTTCATATGTATCTCTTATCACGTGCGACTTTAAATAGTATTTATTTACAGAGGTATATTATGTCACACTTCACACTTCTCTAGTAAGTTTCGTCTGTCTGAAGACGCTGTGCAACGCAAATCTGTGAATGAATGTTTCGAAGTGAAGTAAACTTCAACGGATTTCCCCTGCTTCCCTTGCGCGAGGACTGGAATTGGGAACCGCTGGGCTACATCATGTGTCATTCACTGGTGAGAAAACTTTATAGTAACACAGTTAGTAAAAGTACTACAATACCATGAAGGAAGATCGGCTTGTTGATGTTTGTTTGCCATTCTCTTTTTTTTGTCTGCCATTCTCGCTCTGTCTGCACAGCGTGCGTGAACGCGCTGATGATGTATCTTGTCTGCGCGAACAGGGTGCGCAGAGGTATGCAAATACATATGTTGACAGGCAGGTAGGAAAGCCAATTAAAACGCTCGGACCGAGCGTTTTGATTGGACGAACATTTCTTGGTCCTACACCTTCCACAGAATATATAAATACAGATAAATACATTTAGACCACTTAACTTAATGCTTGCTATCGGGATGAGAAGAGAATTTCAACCAGCAAAAAAAAAAAAAAAAAAAAAGTTTCTGAAGACAATCACCTATTGCACCTTTAAATGTTTTAGAAGACGTCTCTTATTATTTTAATCAAAAAATACAGTAAAAACAGTAATTAGTTATTGGAAAAATATACTATACCCCATTGAAGCAAGAGGACGCTGCAGCTTCAGCATGACCAAAAACATGGTTTTCCTGAACCACTGCTGGGACCTTAACCAGACCATTTTAGTTAGAAATTTGCTAGTATTTGTTAAAAGTAGATCTAATTCATTGGATTGTTTTTCTCACCTGACTGACGTCTTCCAGCAGGATTGTGAGTGCAGTTCGACTGATGGAGCCCCTGTCACTCTCCTGATTCCCACTGTAGCTCTCAACCAGCTGGAACAGAGCTGCAAAGACACAAGCACAGACTCTAAACACTGAACCATGATTGTACATCCTGAAATAGAAATCAAGTGAATGTGGAACAAACCTCTCTGTTTAGCTGAGAGAGTGTCTCCACATAGGGTGATCAGTGCGGCCTCCACTGACCTGCGCAGAATAACACCAGTTTGCTCTCTAAAAGAAAACAGAAAGTTTAAAGTACACATGCATAAATACAAAAACAGACTTTTTAATGTCAAATCAACAGTTACCCCTCACCTGTCAAACAGTTTAAAGAGAAGCCTAGTGGTCTGATCTGTGGCTTCAGGTACTGCCTCACCAGGAAGTTTATATATTGTCAATTAGTTTATGAATCTGTATACAGTATTGTATACAGTACTGTATACTTTTTTGTTTGTTTGCTTTACCTTGCAATATTATTAATATTGTTAATGTTATTACTTCGCTTCTTGGTTTTCAACCTTTGAAAAATCCTTATTTACTTATTGATTGATTGAATGATTGATTGATTTGATTATTGGATTATTTATTGGTTTATATATTTATTGGATTCCCCCTCCTCTTAGTTCAGCCTTCTGCTAGGAACAACAACTGATAAGCTGGATAAACAAGGGACATCTGTATCTTTTGTGTTTGTATTGATCACTTATATATTGTGTTGACTCCTTTTTTTCTGCAGTGATTGGGCAGGGATGAGGGAAAATATGTGGGCAATAATTTTTCTTTTTGTTCATTGTGAGAGTTATTGTAATTACTGTTTAAAACTCTAATAAATAAAGTAATAAAAAAAAAAAAATCTTTCTGTCAACCTGAGGTTGTCTGTCAGTATTTTCCTGAATGTTACAATTGTTTCATTGACTATTTACAGAGGTCGGCCGAAAAGAAGACAAGGCAACCTAGAATATCTGGCAACCCCACAGTCTTTGAATCAGGCGTGGCCATGCGATTTTCGAGGGAAAAACTCATCTGATAAGACGGTGGGTGTTTTACATGTGAAATTGTAAATGTAACATACTATTAATTAATAAGAACATATCTTAATGCGTCTATGCTATTATCACTGCAAATTACAGAGGTTGCGATATGTATAAATGTAATTTAAGTAGTGCAAATAGTTTCAGTTTCGCCATGTTCAGTGTAATAAAACGAAAGCAAAAAAATAGTCGAGAAACTGCTCTATAAACCGATTTATTTTATCCGGATCGTCAAGAGAATCGTAAACCGATCTATTTTTAATATTAAAGTTATAAACACATAATGGTAATTTGTCAAATAAGTATTGCATAATGCATCGAACTATTGAAGAATCGATCTAAAACATAATAGTGAATTTATGGCTCGCCTGATCGCTGTAACATGAAATTCCTTGTGTGAACATCAAGCCTTGTGCATCTTACAAACTTGCGTGCACAAGCTGCCACTTGGTTGTATTACTTGGTGTAAATAATGTATGAACAGAGCTTTTATTTCACTTAGTTCATGTCAGTACTATTGCCTATTATTAGCTTAACTCTTTGTAACTTCGTATACTATAGCATGCATCTTTGCTTTGAAGTGAATATGAACAATTTACTGTACTGAAGATGCTCTGCCTACAATTACAAACTGACATACTAACCTCTGTGTTCTTCTTCTCTCCCATCACTTGCGCACCAATGGATCCTCTGCAGTGAATGGGTGCCGTCAGAATGAAAGTTCAAATAGCTGATCAGTACATCACAATAATCTACAAGTAACTCCAGTCCATCATTTAAAGTCTTGTGAAGTGAAAAGTTGCGTTTTGTAAGAAACAAATCTATCATTAAGGCGTTTTAACTTTAAACCGTTGCTTCTGGCCAAAATACATGTCCATGATCCATAATAGTGCTTCCTCCAGTGAAATATTCCATCCCCTGTTTTTGCTTGTAAATAGAACTTGATCCGTTCATAATTCTCTCCTGATTCAGATGACATAACTTTATCACTGAAAGCAATATTATGGATAGAGAACTCGTATTTTAGCTGAAAGCAACGATTTAAAGATAAAACATTTAATGATGAATTTATTAAAAACACGCAGCTTTTCGCTTCACAAAATGTTAATTGATGGACCAGAGTCGTGTGGATTACTTGTGGATTATTGTGATGTTTTTATCAGCTGTTTGGACTCTCATTCTGACGGCACCCATTCACTGCAGATGATCGATTAGTGACAAAGTGCTGTAATGCTAAATTTCTCCAAATCTGTTCCAATACAAAGAAACAAACTCATCTACACCTTAGATGGCCTGAGGGTGAGTACTTTTTCAGCAAATTTTCATTTTGGGGTGAAATATTCCTTTAAGCTATTTACTTTTAGTTATTGTGTAAAGAAATCTTTAAATAATTGGATTTGCTTGAATAATTCTAAATATCTATTGATTTATACATTTAGAAATGGGTTTTAGAATGTTTATTTGTAATTATTTATAAATATTATTTATTTATAATTATCTGTATAGCTAGATTGATGGAGTTGCTCATATTCTCTCTTTTCAACCTCAGAGCATCTTGAAAAAGTTTTCCGCTGGCTGGGGTTTGAGGTGGTGGCGCACAGAAATAAAACTGCGGCTGAAATGAAGAATCTCCTCAAGGACGTGGGGAAGACAGTAGATGGAGACTGCTTTGTATGCTGCATCCTCTCCCATGGCTTAAAGGAAGGGGTCTATGGAACCGATGGAGCTGTTATTTCTGTTGATGAAATACGAGAGCCTTTCAATGGCAATAACTGCCAGAGGCTAGTCGGCAAGCCCAAGATGTTTTTCATACAGGCATGTCGTGGGAAAAGAAATCAAGATCATGTGCTAGTCCAAGCGGATTCTTCAGAAGATGGAGAGTCAGAGATGGAGGTGGATGGTGATGATTTTGATATCACAATCCCGGCTGACACGGATTTCCTCATTGCCAGGTCAGCCACTGATGGTCACCTTTCTTATAGAAGGCCAGAAGAGGGCTCCTGGTTTATTCAGTCACTTTGCCGAAACCTAGAGCAACATTGTCCACTGTAAGTTTATAACATGCACTTTTTTTATGCAGCATTTTTATGTCCATTATTATCATTTGAATATAGAGAAAATGATAAAGGATTACATGCACAAAATCAGAACTATATGTATTATCAAAAAAGTAATTTTATTTATTTTTATGTTTCCAGGGGTACAGACATCCAGACAGTCCTGCTTTGTGTGAATAATGAGGTTAGCAGTCAGGGATTCAAGTGCAAACAGATGCCCGTCCATGAAGTCGCCATGAGGAAGAAACTGGTCCTGCTGCCACCATGAACCACTGCAAGCTCCTGCAGTGTACAGCATGGCTTCATCATGGTTTTATAGGATAATTTTTAGGATAAAGGGAATCTTTACTCTTACATTCCTGCATCTTTGTTGATGTTCTTCAAGGGAAGTTTTTTTGTTTTTAAATCTGGACCGGGACTGTTTACTTCAAGGGAATCATGAGCCATTTGAGATTTGTTTTTCAAGTTTTCTAAGTAACTTTTTGATAAAAATAATTACTGCATTTTTGCAGATATGTTTTACACATTTCTTTGTACTGTTATTTTAATGTTCTTTCTGCATCCAGTTCAAATACACTGATCCAGGTATTTTATAATAAAATAATGTTTAAATATTGTAATTTTATGCATTTAGAATTAAATGAATTATTTCATATTTAATATTATATTACTCATATTCATCTTCAATGCAATACATAAGCAATAAATATGTCATCGGGTAGGACAACAGAAATTGTATGTATCAAATGTAGGTTTAACAAATGAGCTGTTATTTCTACAAACTGTAGTTTGTGACTAGTGCTTGAATTAAGCAAGATTACATTAAAGTAATTCAAATTCCCTACAGAGATGTGATTAGACCTGTGCCATCAACTGGAATAATTCTGTTATGGCAGCACTTCCTCCTCAGCATCAGTAACCTCTTCCTATAACTGTAATAATAATCAAAATTAACCATACATTTTTTTGTCATAGTGTGATATTGTTATGGTGCTTAAAGGTGGGGTAAGCGATTTTTCAAAAACGCTTTAGAAAACTGATTCGGGCCAAATTGCAAAACAAACTTGTAGCCAATCAGCAGTAAGGGGCGTGTCTACTCATGATGTGGAGGAGAGAGCATTCAGTGCACGGGACGGACATTAGCCGAGCCAAGCGACAGAAAGACAGAGATGGCGGATAAAAGTAGCATCACTGATTATAATGAGTTCTATAGTATTTTGTCGTGCCGCGCCACTAGCGTCCAGTGTAGACACGGTGTAACATTGGTTTTCTCCCAACTTGTTTCACAGGGAACAGTTATCTGCTCCCTAACATCTACCATGCACTGGAATTACACGCTAATTGTAACATAAACACATCTTTACAATGCTGATAATCCAGTTTATTAACTGAAATGCAATAAAATACTCCTCTTTTTTGAGTGTAAATTGATAGCCTGATCAAAAGGTGTATGAACCTAAAATAAATCTGAACCTGAAAACTGACATATCCCCAGTCTCTGTTTGGACTCTTGTTTTGTATTTTTGCGATGTTCCGGTTTCCTGTTCTATTTGTAGTCTTTTTTTTTTTCCCTGTAGTTTTTCCTCATCTTTTAGTTCCTTGATTGTCTTCCAGGTTTTCCTTGTTTTCTTGTTAGTCTATTAGCCCTGTCTGAACATATAACCCTATATGTTATTGGTCAGGTCCTGTCCTTCCCAGCCTGTTAAGTTGGTTTGCTAAGTTCAGGTTCTGTTATTTTGCTCCTGGACATCCCTTGTACAGTATAAAACAGTGGAATTTCAGTGAACAGAATGTTGCCATGAGGTTGAAACTTTCTTCCACTATTATTATACTTCAAACCCCAGAGCATTCATGAAAGTGGTCTTAAATATACACTAGGGCTGCACGATTATGACAAAAATCATAATTGTCGATTATTCCCTTGAAATTGTAATTGCGATTGTTAATTACGATTATCACAATTTACACTGAATGATGTTTATACCATTGTTTGATGCAACTGCATGCCGTATTTTTATATGAAAATAAACAAGCTGAAAACACTCTAACTGAAAAACTTTTAGTGCTTTTAGTATTAAGCCTCAAATGTCAACTATACATCGGATTGGTTTCTTCTTTAAATTATAAAAAAAGTAAAAATATGAATGGTATTATAATGTTATACTAAAACTAAAATTAAAACAATGGAAAACCCCTTAAGATAACATGTAGAAAGAAAGAAAACAAGTCTAAACTTTTTAATCAAAGAGATTCCTGAGTTATTTGTTTTTCACTTTTTTAATGACAAAAATTTATAATAGAGTATTTATAATAGAGCACTTCTGCAGATTATGTGCATATTACACAAACGGTAACAAAAATTATTTTCTCCATGTAAAAAAAGTCATTGTAATGTTTATATACAAAATCCTGGTGCATTACTCAATGTACAATGAAATGGAATTGAAATTACCCAATTAAAATAAACATTCATCAACACCAACAGAAAGATTATATGCAAAATGTAGGCTTCACCACGCATATTTCCACAGGCTGGGCTAAGAAATCACTTGATAATCACTTATTAATGCTCATCGAAAATAAATACATTTACAAAAACCAAATTATCTTAAGTTTTTGATCTCTTCAATTAATTGAACTTCTTGTATTCGAGTTGTCCTATGCCTCTGATGATTTGTCAGCTATTTATTTAAATACAGCATTGGTATGAATAATAAAAAAAAAAATCATTGATCTGTCTTCCAGGGACACAACACACTGTAAAATCCAATAGTTTACCTTAAACACTAAATAAACCTTTGTTATTACAAATTATTATTCTTATTTCACTTTACTTGGTTTTTTCAAGGCAATCGGTTTGCATGCTTTTTTTAAGTAAGGTTTACTAATTGGAATTTACAGTGCATAAGGAAATAGAGCTCTTTAGTTTTAACACAACAGAGCACTATAAAATTTAGATGACAAAAACAATTGTCCATGTCATAAATATGTTCCCAAAAAATAAAACAATACATACAAAAACACAGTCCTTAAAGGCGTTGTTTGCAATTTTTTATGACTGTACTAGAACATAAAATACCATATGTTTGCAGATCTTTAGGAAACATGCTAAGTTTACATACTTGTTTCTCCAAAAAAAACAATGCTACAGCCAGTTATTCTACTCTGAAATGTGCGTTCTGTGCCAAAATGTCTGTTTTTGTTTTGGTCTGTGTAATTCTGTCGACTGTCAATTTACCCAACTGTATTTCAACATCCCATGTTGCCAATCGGTGGAAAACACATTGTATTGCAGCCATGGAAGCCAGCAAATGTACTGGGTCAGTGATTGCAGATTCTACTAGATCTAAAAAACCTCGCCATCCATCTAAAAAGCTTTATGACACGAGGCATATTAAAGCATGGATAAATCATTGCATCAACTTGTAAAACTTGTCGCCTTCCATTGTCAATTGAGCTCATTCCTGTTGCGTGAATGTAGAGTCTGAGGAGGAGGGGATGGGAGAAACAACTACTGCTAACTGTTAATATTACATACTGCACCTTTAAGGATTAAAACACCCAGAGATAGATAGATAGATAGTCATGCTGCAGCCAATCAGGAGACTCGCTTCATGGGCAGGACCAGTGTTTTGGTTAGAGTGTAGCGAACTTCAGGCATCTGCTTGAAGCCATGAAGGATTTTGGAGCTCACTATTCTATTCACCTTCGTCAAAATGGAGAGTCCTCCTTCCTGCCAGAATAAAAAGATACAAGTAAGTCATATGAGTAAGTTGTTCTTCGATGTTGTCTGTGACACATAAAAATGCATTAGTGTTTACAAGTGCAATGAGGTCATATGCATTCCCAACCGTTGATGGTGATGATCAGACCACAATGTGTTTCCAAGATGCATTGCACTACTTCTGATAAACTCATCCAAAATAGATGTTAAATGTATAGTTCATCCAAAAATGAACATTTGCTCAACATTTACACACCCTCAGGCCATCCAAGATGTAGATGAAGTTGTTTCTTCATCAGAACAGATTTGGAGAAATTAGCATTACATCACTTGCTCACCAATGGATCCTCTGCAGTGAATGGGTGCCGTCAGAATGTGAGAGTCTAAACAGCTGATGAAAACATCACAATATTCTACAAGTAATCATGAATCCAGTTCATAAACGTTTTGTGAAGCACAAAGCTGCATGTTTGTAATAAATGTTTTTAACTTCAAACTGTTATATCTGGCTGAAGTACATGTGAAAAAGTTGTCTCGTCTGAATCAGGAAGGAAATATGCACAGATCAACAGGACAAACAGTCCAAAACCATTCTAAACAAACATTTTGATGTGAAAGGACAACACAGGATGGTCTTTTTCACTGGAGGAAGCATTATTATGGATTATAGACAGAAAGGATGGTTTAAAGTTACAACGCCTTAATGATGGATTTATTTATTACAAACATGCAGCACAAGACATTACTTGATGGACTGTAGTCGTGTGGATTACTTGTGGTTTATTGTTATGTTTTTATTAGCTGTTTGGACTCGATTCTGATGGCACCCATTCACTGCAGAGGATCCAATGGTGAGCAAGTGATGTAATGCTACATTTCTAAGCACGCTCATTTACATCTTGGATGGTCTGAGGCTGAGTAAATGTTCAGCAAAATTTCATTTTTAGGTGAACTCTTCCTTGAACATCAAATGCAAATAGGGTCTTTAATTCTAACATAAGCTTCAAAATCTAAACCCTTCTCAAAATCAAGACCACAACTCACCGTGGACAGCCACTTTCCAGCTGCTTGCAGAGCTCCTGGATAAAGATGGACCCATCTGTTGTGTGGCGGAAAGATTTGTAGTACTTGACTGTTGCTATTCCAATGAGGAAATCAGCGTCGTTAAAGTGCATATCTAAATAAATTTAGAAATTCAACTTAACTGTGAATATCTACCATAATGAAACGATAATGTTACAGGGGACTGAAGCATGTCTCAGCTCTGTCCAGGCAAACTTCACCATCCTAAAAGCTCAGGCAGAGGCTGAGAAACAAGCACAAGGAGCAAACAGTGATGCTGCAGGAGGCTGTGATGCCCAGAGCTCAAGGGAGAGGCTAGAGGAGATGGAGCTTAACCCTGCTGAACACGACCCACAGCTGGAACAGTCTGTCAATCAGATCAGAAACAGCCTCTCCCTACAAGAGGTAGAGCTGGTGGAGCTCAGGGAACTAACACTCTCCCATGCAATATCCAGTGAACGCCTACAACACCTGGAAAATAAACTCAATCACCTCACACGAGACTTTGAAACTAGTGTTGAGGAGCTAAAAAGAGAGATATGCAAACTGCAGCAAGATAGAGAGACCAGGAATAAAGAACTGGAAACAGTCAGGCAGGAGCTGCTGCTCAGAGAAGGAGAAATACAAAGCCTGAGAGAACAGACAGAGAGCCTCAGCCGTATCTGTCAGCAGCGGCCCAGCTCTCCCACCACCCAGACAGCAGCAGCCCACACACCAACACCTGAGTCCAGCACTCCAGCAGCAGTGCCACTGACACCACAGACAGAGGGCCCCGAGGGCCCCCAAGAGCAAGGAAGTGACCCACATATGCCCCCACCCCACCGCCCTGGACCTGTACCTCAACCTGGGCCTGTACCTCGTCCTCGACATGGACCTGGATCTGTACTTCGACCTCAACATCCACAGCCTGCTCTCTACTACCATCAGCCTACACCACAGCAGCTGAGACCCCAGCAACAGTACCTTGCACCACAGGGCCCTCTCTCCTGGGACCAACATCAGCACAACCACAAAAGACCCAGAGCAGCTCCAGTGAGGAACAACAGCATCTCAGCAGCCTGGTCCACACCCCCACCGGCCCGAGCAGCAGGAGCAGAGGAGTTATGCCGCAGCCCTAAAAGGGCCAAACCACACCAACCTAGTAGAGATTAAGGACCTGCTCAGACTTATATGCACACGGCTGGAACAGTAGTAGTGAGTAAAAGACATACACACAATATATGTATATATTAAAAAAAATGTAGATCTATGTTTACACATGTACTCTTTGATCCTTGATACTAACATGACTAACAACATCCAGCATCAGGACTCTGAAATATTCATCCACAAAATTCGGCCCAACCAAATAATAAAAGCACAAAAAGAAAATAATCTAACCTATTGGACTGAAACAACAGAAAAACAAAGTAAACTTGAATGTTATTTGGCCCTAAATAGAGATTACACAACTGCAGAATATCTGAGTACAGTGCAAGACTGTAAATAAGAAGACAAATGACGAGGTACAGACTGAGCAATCATACTCTGACTATAGAGTATGATTGCTCAGTCTGTACCTCGTCATTTGTCTCTTTGGGCACTGGCTGCCCAAAGAGAGCCACATCTGCCCTTACTGTAATCATGGGGAAGTGGAGACAGAGCAACACTTCCTCACCAGCTGCCCTAACTATGAAGAAATTAGAAAGAAATTTTATCCCAAATTTGAAATACTTTACCCTGACTTCAAAATGTTAAACAAGAAAACACAACTTCAATATTTATTAGGTGAAAAACAAGATTGTATCTTACTAGCAGCAAGTAGCATTAAAATTATTAAAATTTCCTTCAAATGTGAACTCAAAATCAAAACAACTCATAATCTTTTTTTAATCAATAACGCATAATTATCTGAAATTGAAATCTTCCTTGTTCTTCACGACTTATAAAAATTTTCCAATATTCTGTCACAGCTTTAACTAATTAATGACAGATCGGAAAAATAACCATTTTAGAAAGCTGGTGAGGGACCAAATAGGCCACTTAATGAATTAAACTTTTGAACAAAATTAGATATCAGTTAACTATTGATATTGGAAGAATGGGTCCTGTTTACCACCCTGACTAAGAATGTTTAATTTTAAATTACAGGAAATAGATATAGAAGGAGATTATGGAGATTCCCTACAGCTTCCTAACATCGTCTTGTCACCATCACCCCCACAAGTTTTGGGCCAAACACAAACAATTGCAATTACCTCTAAAACTTTTGATGTCCACAGGAACATTTAGTGCTGACCCTCAATTGCCGAACAAAAGGTTTCCCAAAGAAATAAGGGGACCCTAAATTCCTCCTCCTGTGTGCTGCCTCCAATATTTTTCAGTCCCCAAGAAAGAACAGGGTAACGTGTCATTCTGGATTTATATGCACTTAATAAACACAGGGGAAAACTGCTTTATAACATGGAACAACAGTTTTCATCATGGCTGAAGGTCCCAGACTGACCTGTTTCTACTAAATACAAAAGCTGCAATGACTCTTGTATTGTACATGCACAAGGTGACCTCAAGGTTCAGGAACAGAATGACTCTTGATATGCCACCATCACCTGTCTTAGAATAGAAATTATACTTGCTTAAGATGCAGTGAGTTTACATCTACGCTATATCATTGCATACTGTATGTATGGGAGTGGGAAGTCAACGAGTTTTAGAAAGATGTGAAAGAAATGATAGAGAAGATCCTTGATGTTATATTCCATTGCCTTTTTTAATTTATATTCTAAGGAAATCAAGTTTTGTTTTGTTTATTAAATATACATTTATAAACATGTATCCTGCAAACTAAATGGCTTACTTCTTTAAATTGGAAGTATTTGGGCACAAAATATAGGACATTGCCTGAAAGAAAAGATAACATATATCAATGAAAAACATAACTTCTATTTTAATAGATAAATTTAAGATCTTTGGCAGAGTTTTGGGACCTTTCTTTAAACATGGTGCATGGTGAGGTGATAGCAGAAGTCTACGAATATAAGAATAGCTGTGGCACTGAACATTATTGTAAGGAAATGGGAAGTTTTTTTTGTTTTGTTTCTTGTACTCATGCATTTCCATGTAATAGAAAGAATATTTGTGCAATTAAAATTTAATAAAATAACAGTAATGGAAAAAAGTCCACATAACAGGGTCAGAGAGAGGGTGGAAAATAACATTTTGTGTTTTGTGATGCAAAACATTATATATGCTAAAATAATTAAATAATATAAAAAAATGACACTTTTAAGAATGTTTGATGTTTAATTTCACTCATTTCTAGACATCAATGATTTCTTACAATTGCTAAGTCTTTAAAGAGTTAAAAATCTCAACACATTTTAGATTGCCAAGGAAGACATTAATGGCAAAAATAAGCATTTGCAAACAGCATTCAAAACTAAATCATTTAGACTGCTGGTATAAAATCATCATGCTTAACATTAGTTTAAAAATAGCTGTGCCCAGTATCAAATATAAATGTTTTATTACTTTTAAATTACATTGTTTAAACAAGATCACACAACCACATTTCCGTAACTCAGTGCAGTAAACTTAATAATTAAGATCAAACTCACAGAGACAGCCAGATCAATTTGAATCTATAGTACCAAAGTGCCTTGATCCACCCTGAAGAATTAATAGAGTCTGAGTAATGGAATAATGGAAACTTCTTTAGCATGAATCCAGTCTTACAGAAGTCAATAAGAATCTTTAGTCCATGGGCAGCACCAGCTTCTTGGTGAGGGTATATCGAGGTTCAGGCATCTGCTTGCGGCCCCTCAACATTTTCATGCTCACTTCATGGTTTACCTTTGTCAAGATTGACAAGATATCCTCTCTTCTGTCAAAAAAAAAAAAAAAGCAGACAAGAACATAACTCTATGAACCCATCTAAATCAAACCATCATGAGTATTCAACAGGAACATTTTCTTCCCTCAAGATCACTGCATTTTCACCGCGGTTCTAATGTGTGGTGTAAACACTACGATTAACTGCAAAATGTTTCAATGACAAATAAAGCTGAATAAAGATAGGGAAACAAAATTAATCTAAAATGCATTTCTTTCTATTCATGTTGGTTACATATGTTTTTGAAAAACGTTACTTTTTCTAGAAGAATTTAAATTTAATGACTCCAAAATAAATGTGAACGTACACACCTTATCATGAATTATTCAAAATCATTCATAAATATGTTGCATTGTAAAATGATTTATAAATTAGATTAGATTAGATAAGATTCAGCTTTACTGTCATTGTGCAGAGTGCATGTACAGGGCCAATGAAATGCAGTTAACATCTAACCAGAAGTGCAAATAGCCAATTTATATAAATAAGCATAAATATGTATATATAAATATTTACATTACATTTACATTTAGTCATTTAGCAGACACTTTTATCCAAAGCGACTTACAAATGAGGACAATAGAAGCAATCAAAACTAACAAAAGATCAACTATATGTAAGTGCAAGTGACGAGTCTCGGTTAGCCTAACGCAGTAGGCTAACCAAGGTTTTATATATACACACACACACACACACACACACAAAGAAAAACAAGTAGATAGAATAGAAAAAATTGAAAGCTAGTGTTAGTTTAAAAAAAAGATAAATAGATAAAGTAGAATTAAAATAGAATAGAAAGTGCTAGAGTTAGAAGGTCAAATAAAGATGGAACAGATGCAACAATTTGAGTTGAATTACTGAAATAAATGAACTTTTCCACAACATTCTAATTTATTGAGATGCACCTGTACATTAAGGTCAGTAGGATTTTGTGATTTGCGCCATACTCTTTCTGCAGCTCTGAGCTTAGAACGATACTCACGGAGAACATCAGATAGCCAAGGGGCAGAAGAGGTGGTACGAGCTGGCCTGGAAGACAAGGGGCAGACAGTGTCTAAACAAGATGTAAGAGTGGAGCAGAAAGTATCAGTAGCACTGTTAACATCAAGAGATGATAACTGTTCAGGGGAAGGAAGCAAAGATGAAACCATAGCAGATAGCCGGGAGGGTGAGAGTGAGCGTAGGTTACATCGAAAAGTGACATGTGGAGGGGTATGTGTTGTGTCAGGAACCATGTTGAGGTTAAGAGTGAGGAGGAAGTGATCCGAGGTGTGCAGTGGAGTAACCAGTACATGATCATATATGATCATGATATAAATATTATGATATATATGTGTATATATATATATATATATATAAATTAATGTGTATGTACAATAAACATTTATGAGGGACAGGTGCAGAGACCAGCTCAATGCAGTTATCTATGAAATACAATCTAAATCTACATTAATATAGTGCAATGTGGATATATTAGAGTAGGGTGGAAATGAGAAGTATAAAACACAGAAGGTGCATTATTCAGAATTAGGTATTTGTAAATATATAATCATACGGTCAGTGACGATATCAGTGCAATGGGCATCATGAGGTAGAATGTACAAAGGAATGTGCAACAATAATAACAGATGATGCTGTATATATAGTTTTAGATGGGTCAAGTAGAATAGAGTGTTCAGCATTTAAATTTAGAGTTTATGAGGCTGACAGTTAAGGGGAAGAAACTGCTCCTGAGTCTGAGTCCTATAACATCTCCCAGATAGGAGAAGAGTAAACAGTCCGTGGCTGGGGTGAAAGGTATCTTTGATAATGCTTCTCACCCTTCGTAGGCAGCGTTTGAGGCAAGTGTCTTTGATGGAGGGTAGCTGAACACCAGTGATCTGTTGGGCTGTTTTAACAACAGGTTGGAGGGCCTTCTGGTCTGAGACCAGTTGCCATACCACACTGTGATGCAGTTTGTTAAGATGCTTTTAATTGTGCATCGATAAACGTTTAGCAAGATGTGGGGGGACAGGTGAGCTTTCAAGTAAAGGTGCTGTTGTGCCTTTTTGATCAGAGTGAAGGTGTTGTTGAGGGTTCAGGAAAGATCCACAGAGATATGTACACCCAGGAATCTGAAACTAGGCTCTGCTTCGGCCCCATCAATGTAGATGGGTGTGTGTGTGTGTGGTCTTTCCTAGGGGTCCACAATCAGTTCCTTGGTCTTCTGGGTGTTGAGTGCGAGATTATTGTCGGCACATCACACCGCCAGGTGCTGAACCTCCTCCCTGTAGGCCGTTTCATCATCGCCGCTGATCAGGCCTAACACCGTGGTGTCATCTGCAAACCTGATTATGGAGTACAGCCATGTACAGGTACGCAGTGGTGGGTGAAAAGGGAGTCGAGAATTGGGCTCAGAACACAGCCCTGTGGTATGCCAGTGTTCAAGGTGAGGATGGAGGAGTTGTAATTGTTAATCCTAACAGACTGTGGTTCAGTTGCAGAGAGAGGGGCTGATGCAAAGGTCAGTGAGTTTGGAGATCAGCTTAGATGGAATCACACAGTATTAAAAGCAGAGCTGATATTGATGAATAGCATTCTAGTAAATCATAGTCTTCATAAGTGATTCAGGGCAGTGTGGAGAGCTGAGGTGATGGCGTCCTCAGTTGACCTGTTGGGTTTGTAGGCGAACTGAAATGGGTCCAGTGTTGAGGGCAGGCACGTTTTCAGATGGGAGAGTACCAGCCTCTCTAAACATTTTGCTATGATTGGCATGAGAGCGACAGGGAGGAAGTCATTAGGGGCCAATGCAGCCACTGCATTTGTGGTAAGCCACTGCTATTGTAGTAAGAAAGACCCCATGTTTTGAGTAGTCAAGTAATCTGACATTTTAAAACATGAACTAACCTTGCCTTTTTATAATTAGGTCAACTGATCTAATATTCTAAGTGACTTAAGGCATCTATACACAGCAGAGTTAAGGCTGCACTGTGCCTGCTCAAAATTCTATGTAAATCATAATGCTGCATGAAAGCCGAACTAAACAATACCAGCTCTGACCCACCTCAGCCCCCAGTATTAAAGTATATGGTTATCATTGCTGCGTAAATGCATTTATGCCACCTCTGAGCAGCTTTAAACAGCCTGTGTAAAGACAACTAAATGCCACTTCAGAAGCACTTCTGTGCCACCTTTGCAGTGTAAATTTGGCATTACTGATCTTGAGAGTCACATCAATCTTTTTTTTTTTTTTTTAAATAATGCAATCATAGAAAAGGAGGGTTCCAGTCACTGTGCACTGCTGTTCAAAAGTTTGAGTTTGGTAAGATCTTTTTTTTCATGTTTTTAAAGGGGTCATATGATGCGATTTCAATTTTTCCTTTCTCTTTGGAGTGTTACAAGCTCTTGGTGCATAAAGAAGATCTGTAAAGTTGCAAAGACTAAAGTCTCAAATCCAAAGAGATATTCTTTATAAAAGTTAAGAGTCAACCACGCCTACCTAAAACGGCTCGTTCTAACACGCCCCCACATATCTACATCACTATGTGGGAAATTTGCATAACGCCGCCCAAATGTTCACGCAAAGAAAGAAGGCGTAACTTTTATTCTCGCTGTAGTATTGTTGTTGTTGCCGCCACCGCCATGCCGTGAAGGCGCTGTGTGTTTCATTGTGAAAGCGAAACTACTTTTTGTTTGGCCTTCCAAAAGAGGACAATATCCGCTTCGTCATGCCTGGAGCTGATCCGTGCTGGTCGCTGAGGAAATACATCAACTTTACGCTGTGGATCGCCGGATCGGCTTTCACCGTGGACGAAGCGGAGTCCAGCCCGCGTAATTATGTCCCCACCGGATGCAACAAATGCCTCGTTTATAATGGCTTTTTATGTTTTTGTCTCGTCGTGCCGGACTCAAGCCCACCGGCCTCCGCTCACTCTAGCCCTCCAGCCATTCCTCACTCTAGCCCTCCGGCCATTGCTAACTCTAGCCCCCAGCCTCTGCTCAATCTAGGCCGCCGCCGCTCACTCTAGCCACATAAAAACATTTCATTACACCAAATACACAAAATAATGTTCTTTTTAGTAACATCATATGACCCCTTTAAGTTTTTCATGCTTACCAAGGATGCATTTATTTGATCAAAAATACAGTAAAAGCAGTAATTTGTGAAATATTATTACAAAACAACTGTTTTCAATACCTTTTTAATACTTTAAAAAAAGTTATTTATGCCTGAAAATGAATAAATTGCAAAGCTGAAATATCAGCATCATTAATCCAGTCATTAGCGTCACGTGATTTTTCAGAAATCATTCTAATATGATGATTTGGTGCTCAAGAAACGTTTCTTCTTAATATCAATGCTGAAAACTTTGTGCTGCTTAATATTTTTGTGGAACCCATGCTACATTTTTCAGGATTTTTGATAAATAGAAAGTTCAAAAGAACAGCATCTATTTGAAAGAGAAATCTTTTGTAACATCATAAATGTCTTTACTGTCTCTTTTGAATCATTTAATGCATTTTTCTCAATACAAGTATTATTTTCTTAAAGGTGACATGTCATGAAAATCTGACTTTTCCAGGTTTTAAGTGCTATAATCAGGTCCCCAGTGCATCTACCAACCAAGGAAACGTGAAAAAGATTAACCTAGTAACTTTGTTTTGGTAAGCCTTTTTCTGCAAGCGTCTGAGAAAACGAGCGCGTCAGATTTCGCTCCCTTGGTGACGTGGCAAAGGAATCTCATTATAATATTACCGCCCCTTAATCTGTAAATTTACACCCACGGTGCCGTCATTTTGATTTCGCAAGCGACAACGGTGAACCAGCTCTAATGCCATGGCGAAAGTTTGAGCAAAACATGCTAACTGTTCTGTCTTTGGCTGCACAGACGAGCACAAAACATCCTTTAGAGTCCCAGCCTCAGAGGAGACAAGAGAGCAGTGGATTTATTGATTTATTTACTGTGCTGCTACATATTGTAAAAAGGGGCATAATATGTCTCCTTTAAAAAAAAAAAACTGACCCAAAACTTTTGAATGGTAGTGTAAAATAAATTCTGCATGTATGGGTCAAACTGGTCAATGGGTTGACTGGTGGAAAATAAAGGTTAACTACCAAGTAAATTCAGCCATATTTACGGCATCACATTTGGTCATGTGTGATCATCATATGGAACTGAAACATGAATTTCTACAAACCCAACATGGGCACATTTGAGAACCACCCACATGCAAATATCTTTCATTCAAGACATGACAGAGTCTGCTTTTGAACTCACCTGGGGCATAATATCTCCAACTGATTACAGAGCTCCTGGATATAGATAGACCCCTCTCTAGTGTGGCGGAAGGACTGGTAGTGCTCTACTGTGGCCATTCCGATTAGCATATCCGCTTCTATAGGAATAAAGCGGGATGCCGGATTATAAGCATCTGCCTCGTATTCTTCTCCTTCTGTAGCATTTTCCGGTGAATCCGCTGTCCAAACACCATTCTGGCCCTCACTTCCTTGGCAGGCTTGAATGAAGAAAAGCTTGGGCTTGGATGCTAGTGTACGGCATTCAGCAATAGGCATTGTGAGTTCACGGATTTCAACCTCTTTACCATCCACACCCAAAACTATGCCCTTCTCTCCATGCGAGAGGACACAGCAGACAAAAGCACCCATTTGGGTATGATCCTTTTTTGCAAATTGCTTTATCATTTCCTTCATATCTGAAGCTGTCAAATCGTCCTGAACCTCAACCTTAAAATGCATTCTGCAAAACACTCTGCTAAGGTCATCTACAGAAACAGAGAGAGAGAGAGTTAATTTAAAAATACATTTTTAAGGAATACGTATATGTTAATGGATTTGCCTGAAATACCTTTGTCCTTATTCGTTCCTGTTCGGTTGGCCAATGAGGACCTTTCTTTAAAGTTGTAGTTGTTGATGATTAGACAATATCCAAGAGGCCGCTGAGTCATATTATAATATTCCCCCGGCTACATGAATGCAAAGCAAATCACATTAAAATTACATTTTTTATTTACATAATTCACAAACAGCCAGTACACACATACACATCTTATTAATAGAAAATCATTAATAAATCATATTTGTCACAGCAGTGACGTTATGGAAATGAAAAACAGCTGCTTGTGATTAGTTTATGCTATGCCTTAGTGAAAAAGTTCAAATTTATCAGCTGTGGGCCAATCAGGTTCTATTTAAACAGTCATAATGACCCTGATCTGTGAATTAATTATAACTTATTTGAAATCCTTGCTGTGTCCTGATTCACCAATCCTGATTAAATAACACCACTATGAGCATTTGTTTGTAACTTCTATAGGAGTGTGAAACTATAAAACTCTAAACCACTAAAACTAGTGGTGCTGCAAATAGTTTTTTACAACATTCAACTGTAATGTAACAATGAAAAAAATATTTAATATTAAGAATGAAATGTAATGTGTCTTTTATACTCTGGGTTCAGTGTCTGAATCGGGAACAAGCGAGTCTCTCCTCCCTAAAAAAAACATATGGTGATATATATATATATATATATATATACACAGTATATACACACAAGGAGCATTAATGTTCAGTAATGTCTTGAAAGTTTGTATGAGAGTATAACTTACATCCATTTCCTGTCTCCATTTGCTGTGATAAAGCCAAAATATGGAGGGAAGAGAAACAACAGAGGTTACTATGCATTGAATTGCAGCATATTTATCATTTAAAATGTAGTTGTCACCAAAACAATACTGCACTCTGTGTTGAAATGTGACTACAACTATTATAAACAAACAGAACTGGTATTTTTAAAGGCACTTCATTTTGAAAATGCTAATTTACATGAAAGCATTCATTTCAGGAAGTAAAAAATGCCAAGTATAAGCTGTGGTTCTCAACTGGTGTGTTGTGACCACACAAAAAAAATGCCAGCAGGGGAAAAACAATGCTAAATACATGGCCTCATCCTTTAAAATCATGAATGAAACTAGGCAAAAGAAAATATTACCCAGCCAGACTATATTAAAAACGAGTTCACTAGCAAAGTGGATAAACACTATTTTCTGAGGAGAATAAAACCAATTAAAAACCTTTAGAAACCAATAATAAATACATTTAAATATTTGACATTAACGACATTTTTGTATGTTACAACAAAAATAATAATTTGGTACTCTGTTGGGTCACTTGAATATGGGACACATGATAAAAAAAAAACATTTTTAAAGAAATAGTTCCCCCAAAAATGAAAATCTGCTGTTAATTTACTCACCCTCAGGCCATCCAAGATGTAGGTGACTTTTTTCCTCAGTAGAAGAGTAAAGATTTTTAGCTGAAACCATGGTCCATTTACATTTACATTATGTTGTAAATAATGTTCAGCTTCTTGCACAGACCAATTGTTTCGCTTCATAAGACGTCAATATACCATCAGGAGCCATATGTATTCATTTTGTGTTCAATGATTTGCTTTTCTTTGACTCTCAAAATGATAGTAACTGCTGACTTGCATTTTATGAATCACCAAAAAACATGGTTTCAGCTAAAATTCTTCCTTACTGTTCTACTGAATACAAAATCTTGGATGGCCTTAGGGTCAGTAAATTAACAGCAAATTTTCATTTTTGGTGAACTATCCCTTTAAGCGAGTTTTCACATTTGGTTCTTAAATTACACAGAAATACACATCATAAGAAAGATTTGGGTTATACTATGTGAAAATTAAATGCCCAAATGCATCTTAAGGTAAAGATTTGGCATACTTACATATCTTTGCATATTTTCAACAGGTAAGGAAACTTGCTCGTTACCAAACACTTCCCGTAGAGGAAGTCTGCCTCCTATTGGACAAAAAAAAAAAAAGCTGCTGTTTATGTTTGGAGAAATTAGAAAAGTAGACAATTAAGTAGTAGATAATTAATTTGATTTTGTCAGTAACCTTGTTCCCGGGCCCTGTACTCCTCTATCCTGCAGGCCAGCTGTTTGTCACATTTGTCTAAAACATTGTAAAGTTCATCCAGGTTGTCTTCCCCAAGCTTCTGTAGCTTTTCCATCTCAATCATAACATCTAGAAATGTCTATGTGATTCACATAAAATAACATTGTTATATAGTAACAGGTTAAAGTGCAACCCATAATAACTATATTTGTAATTAAATAATAACATTTACAAGGCTAGTTACTGCAGTCAAGGTAGCAAACTACATATTGCATTTTTCCACATTAATTTATTATTCATATGCAATCTGCACTAACATTATAACTTACGGGCTCAAAATATATAACTCACAGCAGACGTTCCTAGTTTTGACCTCGGAACTTCCACAAGAAATTTCACTGCACGAAGGTTTTCTTCTGTCATGCCCTCAGATATTCTAAATAGCATTTTTCTGTGGTGAGAAAAGAGTGAGACAAAACAAGTCACAGTCATTGTGACATAAAATATTATCAGTACAGTAACTACAGTACAAGGAGCCCTTTCTAAGAAAACGATGTGATACTGACTGATATTGATATTGCGTTGGTAACTACTTCTATCTAGTTTATCAAGTTTAGCAAGTCAGTGTGTTTTCTTCATACCTGTAGTCTGAGACACCTTTACTAGACATGTCACGTTGTAGCAGATTTCTTTCCACATCATCTTTGGACATTTCCAGGATGCCAAGCAAGTCAAGGCGGCCAATAGTGATCAGAAGCTCGGGGATGAGTAACCCGTCATCAAGCAGTGCTTGCTCTTCCAGTCTCAGGAACAGTTCTTTGGCATCAGTCACTGTCTCCAAACGTTTCTTGGGAATTAGGTCCATGCACAGAAACTTCAGCTGGGCCACTTCATTACATGTCAGGTTCTCATCAATCTTGTGAAACTTAAGAGGATCCATATTCTGTTACATAATGTTAAACAAAGACTCGTTTAAATAAAGGAAGAAACAACTTGAGAAAGCCCTTACTTTGGCAACTATAATAACCATACGTTCAATAAAACATATTACAACTTGCCCAACCCAATATGAAAAATATCCTTGTCCTGAAAACATGGCATAAAGAACGTCCATGATATATTTCTAGAGTGTATTTATTGTGTTCACTTGTTAACAAATAATACAAAATACGATTACATTGGAATTTTAGTTTAGGACAGAATTCACAAATAGCGTCATTTAACAAGTTTCGAACTAGGTATTTGAACGCAGCATACAAAACCACTAACTCAAACATTTTTTATTCACAAACACAGTTTTTGATATATAGCTTTGTGACAACGTTCCCATGTGACAACTAGCCCAGGTCAAAGTGTACATTTTTGACCGGTTTTAGTTATTTGTTTAACGTATTCACGTATTTTAAATCCTCCGATAGTTTTAAAAACTACTATTCTAGCCGCTTGGGACATTAAACGGAATGTATAACATGTATACTAAATATTTTTAGTTGTGTATCATATCACCCTTCAAGACACGACTGCCACTGCTTTAAAAGGTCTGGTATCACTAAATACATTTTTGTTCAGCGAGTCGAATGCTACAATGTAACTGTGATGACAAACTAACCCCGGACTAGGTTATGACAAACACTCTTGAAAGTTAACCCGAACAATCAGCTAAAATGCTCAACTTAATGCTCATCTTACCTCTATATTTACAACATCCAACTGAAATAAAATCGTAACTGTCGTAGAAACAAAATCAAGAGAGTACGACCGACATGCTAAAGATACTGCGTTTCCAACGCGTCTTGCTTTCAGTTTCAGCTCTAGCTTTTCAATTTCAACAGGAAGTGGACACAAGGATGTGTTCACAAATGTGTTATATAATATTTGTGGGGGTTACTCTCGAATTACTGAATTCTGAACAGCAGTAAAAAATACTTAAATTTTCAGACAGTTTTGATTGAAGAAAAACATAAATGTGTATATTTTTAAGTATATTTAATGTGTAAAATATTTCCTACAAATAATTTAAAAAATTGTTATATAAAAAGTTGAGGCTTTAATATTTATCTTGACACACTAGAAAGTTTGCTGTTTTAAGTATATTCTATGCAATATTGCTATAGTCTATAAATGACTGTGTCACTCAAATAATCAAGCTGAACCAAATACTATTACAGTACATACAAAAACAGAGCATAAAATCATTATACCAAGGCACTATTAGAAGAAAACCTTTATTTTCAATACGTCAGAAATTGGTTAGTGTTTGTTATTCCTGTGGAAAGTTTTGAGAGTCTTGAGGTTTCCTCAACAGCAGAAATTGCAGGAAGTCCCCAGCCTTTAGCTCAGGGTGTTGTCTGATGTAGGAGGAGTAGTCTGCTTTGAATTATTCCTGTGTGAGTGAAAATGAGTCACAAATTTGCATATTTGTTGAGTGACCTTTATTTTATGTGGTCCTTTGATTGAAATTCTTAGAAGTTCTAAAAAGGTAGAAATTAGATATTGCGTCTCAGAGTTTCAACATGGGCTGCATGGACTTTTGGAACCCACAGTGTATTTTAACAACCATGAAAAGGTCTTTATGAATACATTAATAATTATCACACAAATCATAACAGTAATGTTTTCCAATATCCTTGAGTAATATATGACATCAGTTAAAAGCTTATTAAAACTAACAGGCACCTTTCTGTAAAGAAACTTTGAGTAAAGCTCCATGTCTTCCTCCCAGATAAGTGGCTTCTTCTCAAACACAGGAATCAGGTCTTTCTCCACTGAAAATAAAAGCAAAATCATTTTACTTTTACTTTATTTTTGACTGTAAAGATTAATTCTGGTCACAAAGGAGCAGACTGTAAAGTGATGAAGTCTTCAAACCTCCATCAAGCAAGAAAGGCAAATGCTGGAGCTTCAGGTGAGTCCAAGTGCATTCTGCTTGCTAGATGCCTAAGTGTAAAATATTTTAGGAAAAGGTCAAAACTCTGGGGGTTTTTTTTACACATTTTTTAATATTTTTATTTTTTTCATATAAGTGCTTGTAATAAAGCAATCAAACATCAAGTAGAAAATAAAACAAAAATCAACTTTTTATATATACCATATGGCAGCATTGGTTTTGTTTGCAAGATATTAATCACAATCTACCATCAACCTATCAACCACATTTACGCTGTCATTTGTCCTTTGTGTCAGTATGTCATAAAAACAATGAGTCATCATTTTACTGTCAGAGATTTGTTGCTCGCGTCACACCACATGTAGTGTAGACAGAATCACTGTTTATGATACACTGTAAAAAATGATCGTGATTTGAACAGAAAAAGACTGTAAAAATGCTACCATAAAAACCTGTTTATTGTTTAACAGTAAGTTTCCATACTATATATGGTGAATAACTGTAGTCACATTTAATGTCATTTTATTTAAAATTACGGTTTTTGGACGTGAAAAAGAAAAAGTCATTGTATAATTTACAGTGAAAAAACGTAAATTAACACTACCAGAATTCCCTGCATGACACTTCATATTTGATGTTTTTTTTTTTTTTAAATAACTATAACTTTCTTAGTTTTTTTTCTTCTCAGTTGTGTACATTAGGGTTTTATCTTACATCTAATGTTGTAAAATTAATGTTTATTGCATTATTTCAGTATTGTGTGTTACCATGATGGTGTTTAGTGTTTGTGTGAATGACACTCTGTGCATCTTACTATTTCCCTCCTCCGCTTGTGGAAAAGCTGTTTGTGATGAGCTTTGATTCATCAAGTGACTTTCTCATCACCAACTGTTTTTGGTGGTTATCAGTGTATTACAATGGTTCAAAACAGATATTAGTACTTCAATAGGTTGGTATATTAACATTACATCAATTAATGACATTTTTATATTGTGAATTTAAGTTAAGTATGTAAAACCTAAAATGTCGCTACCATATTTTTTTATGGTGAGGTTCTGGCAACCACAGCTGCCGGTATTTTACCGTAAATGTTACTTTTTTTTTTACAGTGTAGGTTTTATTGTCTTTAGTCGCGTAATGCCACTCGCGTCCAGTGTAAACACACCGATATGAGAAACAGATAAGATAAGTTTTGCTTTCTAGCAAAAAAATTAAGAGTATTCTACCCATCAGGCAAGAAATAGCAATGCCAAGTTCCTGAGGAGTCCTTTGGAGAGGACACAGTCCTTTCAATCCCAAAGATATCGACTAACTCTTCCCCAATCATCTGCTTCTTGCACCCAAGTGCTCTCTAAAGCAAAAAAGTGCATCAGTCACATGAAAGAATTATAAACCATCTACCATCATACATCAACTGTTTACAATGATTTTTAAAATAACATTTAAGGGCTGAAATATAAGCAATTATCTCCCTGTACTTACATAAACTGACTTAGAAAGCACAGTATCTGCATCAAATGACAGGAATGTCATGTTTTCTGGAACAGTCTTCTGCCGAGCCAGTATACGCAGGATCATTAAGTTGGATGCCTCAGACACAAAACCTTTTAGAGAACTCAGTGGAAATGTGTGGGTTTGTGTCTTCACTCCCTTAAGAATGAAAGATGAGCCTTTCTTATTACTGATACAAACTGTTGAACACAAACTATCAGTAAAATGTTCAATAATAGCACTCACCTCTTTCTCTGAGATGATCCGGTTTAACACTAGCTGATCATCCTGTTTAACAATATGCACTTTCCGGTCCACAGTCTGCTTTTCTAGCTGGAATGTTTACAACACCTCAGATTTTGGTGGCTTTACATTGCGATTTTGATTATTACATTCATTATTTCTATAATATTAAACAGAATCTGTTGGTTAACAAGTATTAAGTTAAAGGGAACCTACCCTATGATTTTCATGAACTTTGCTTTATGTCAATAGAAAACATACCTTTACATATTCATGATGATTCTCTTCCAGTATCTCAAGATTTCTGGATATGTAGGCTGGTAAAAACACAAGGGAACAAATAAAGGGTTTAACATATTTAAGAAATGACTGAGATGGCACAAATGCCATTTGTGTTTTTAACTAACAAATAATAAAGAGAAGGAAATAGTCCTTATATAATGTAAGCTCACCTACAATTGATGTACCACAAGGAATGTCATCAATCGTTCCATGACTGTTGGCATGGAGCAGATAACATAGCTCCTCATTGTAGCTCGCCTTGGTGACACTCACAGAGAAGTCTCCCAGCTCCCGGCCCGAATCTGACACAGTCACAAGTGAATCTGCGAACAAACACTGGTCCAGATCCTTGGGTTCTGAAAATGACAGCAGAAGACAGTAGCCCCTCACTGCAGAGCACAAGATCCAGGGGGCGTGGTTGGATCCA